ATTTATTTTATATCAGTACGTAGAAACACATGAAGATCTTATGAATGTCTAGTCTTTCTGTATCGAGAAATCCTATGGTCCCCTTATGAATTAGATGTATTGTCACTCGTTTGAAGTTATTTACATGTTAATTAGTGTATTTATATTTGAATACGTGGTAGTACACTATTTGGATTATGTTGATCCTCAAATAAATTATCTTTCTACTCATTACAAGCATGTTTACTTGGTGTGTGTATATATCAGTGGTTTAAAACGCGTATAGCGTAATGCGTCGCGTTTTGGTTGGTATTTATAGTGCATAGCGTAATAGCGTGTTACGTAAGCTATTTGGGTATAATTTTTCTTTTTTTATATAGAAATATTACAAATATATTTGCATATAATAAAACTGGATAGTTGATTACAAAAATTATCATAGTATTTGAACTCACTTAAAAAATAACATCTAATATAATATTAAATAAAAATTGAATATACTAAAAAGTAAAAATAAACAACGAAATTATAATGAGGTAAGTCATAGTATAATTTTAAGTATATGCATTTTAATTATTATTATTATTATTATTTTTATTTAATTATAACTTAATTCTAATCATTAGATATGAACTTTTTATTCTTTATTTAAATGGCAAGTATTGAAAATAAAATGATATAACAAAAATGATAAGAATTTGCATTTTCAAACTTTTAATTTGAAATCATTATCAAAATTTTTAGTTTTTAGGTGTCATTGTAAATATAACTATAATACCTAAAAATACGAGTTTTTGAATATTTTATTTTTCAAATGTCGTTGTAGAATATAGCGCATTTTAGCGCACAATAGCGTGAAATAACGCAAAATAGCGTAAAAAAGCGTGCCATTTCGACATTGCGCGCAAGCTTTTCGGGAAAAACGCTAAATATATAAGGCTACGTCGCGTTTTTCCCAAAAAAAACTATATAGCGAGCTATTTAAAACGATGGTATATATACAAAATTTTAGAAAGATAATCCCGTTACGAATCATTCCGTCGGGATTGTAACCGTTAGATCATCATGTAACCGTCTGGAATAGTTGATGTAACGGTTACAAACCCCGACGCAATAATTCCGTAATGGGACCATAGCATTTTTCAAAATTTTAATTGATAAAATTGGTAGCTAGAAATATGTAATTGGGTTAATATTATTCTTTCTTGAAAAACATATAATAATAGTAATAATAATAATAATAAGTACTTTTTATTTTATATTTTAATTTTGTTAGTGGAATTTATAGAATAAAAACGAAATGAACATTATTTTTATTTTTTTTATTTTGTTTTCAGTTTCTGAGTAAACAAATAACAAGGAAACGTTTTACTTATTTATCTTCAACCCCAGTCAAAATGTGTTGATCAAGATTTCCACAGGTTCATTTTCTCTGAAAGTTCCAAACTAATATGACCTGTTTTTGGTAGGTCTTGTTGTAAGACTAGTTGACTTTTGCATTTTCATTATTAGTAATAATAATTATAATTATGAGCAGTCAATCTTTTTATGGTCGTCGCAAATTGTCGTTTTCTGTAGTCTCCTTGTAGCTTTCTTTCTCTCCCACCGGCCATTAAATTTTTGAATCTAAATATGAAGTTTACATGATTTAATAATTACTGGCAAAATCCAAAAATTTACCTGCATATATAATACCTAACCATGTATAAGTTTTACATATAAAGATAAATATAATTTATTTATTTCATATATACAATATAGATGTCAAATTGAAGATCATCAAAAGATGATTAATTTGATATATTATATATGTAAAACCGATAAGAAATACAAAAGTTATCAACTTTTAAAATACATTTATAATTCAATAGCTTATTAAAGGAAACAAATCAAAATTCAAGGATATATTAGTCAACTTAGTGCCTCACTATGTAAAATTACAAAGAATTAAAGAGTTATATTAGTAAAAGTGATATTAAAACACCTAAGTTAGCTAAATAATATTTATGGAATACCTGAACCTAGATTATTAATTATTAATATATCAATATTATTTATTCAAACCTAATTACAAAGTATGATACTTCGCCAAATAGGATTCTGAAGCACCAGAAGCAGCCACGTAGTCTCAGCGCATTCGGGAATTATATATATGGGTGATATAAATATTATATTTATTTGTTAAAATAGGTTGGATTGGAGTGAGAATGATGTTTAGTGAAAGAAATAAGAATACATCACAACTGTCTGATCGAATAATCCAACGATTTTAAAAAAAAAACCCAAACATTTTTACATTTTTTTTTTGGTACAGGGAGATCCACAAGGGAACCGGCTAATCCAGAATTGAGTTGGGTAGGACCACAAGGGCGGCAAAGCTCTCCCTCAAGAGTTTTAACACTGCTGCATTCCCAAGGCTCGAACACGAGACCACTGGTTAAGCTGGAAGAGACCCAAATATTTTTACTGATTAAGAGTAAATTGGACAATTAATTACACATTTGGGCCACACCCCCACCCCATCCCACACATGCACACTGCACACGCCAACCCAATCCTCCCGGCTGCGAACTTTGCTGCCGACCACCCGCCGTTCGCTACCCGTCAATCCCTCCGCCGCTACCGCCTTCAGAGAGGACCACCTACGTAATTACTGGGAGAAAACCGGCGATTCAGCCAGGGGCAGAGCCAGCCTCATCATTCACCGGGGTCAGCAATATTTTTTAGTGGGGTCATTAACCTAGTAAACAGTGTTTGAACAGTATTTTATACTAAAAATTTTGAAATCTATAGGGGTCAGCTGACCCCAGCGGCAAGGTGCAGCTTCGCCCCTGGATTCAACATATCTGCCTCCACCTCTGTTGCCTATCTCGTCATAGGAGCCCGATGATCGCCGAGAGAAGAGATTCCTCCTCCGCCACCTCCGCCTATTCTGCCTCCATCGTTTTAATTGGTGACCAGAAAACCTAATCAATCTACTCCACCTGGAAAACTTTGGGCTGCCTGCGGCCTCTCTGACCATCAAAATCGACATCAAAGTCGACTCATCGACTGAGGAATCAACATCGACCGATTCCTATTCTTGAAGTGCGGTGGCTAGACCCGCGTACAAGCTGCACAGATGATTGACGCCCGAGAAATCGTCGGCGATAATTGGATTTGGAGTTGGGTTGTTTCTGAAATTTTGATAAGTCTCAAGGGCCTAATTGTAATTTTATAAATTTTTAATATATTATAATTTAGTTCATGAGTCAAATCTGTAATTTAATAAAACTTTAATAAATGCACATTAATGTGCATTGCACCACATCTCATTTGGAATTGCACATTAAAAACGTCACTATGCAGATTGTACCATATTGTTAGACAAGCTACACATTAGTGCATATGATATTGCACATTATCGCAACATTGCATTTTCCGCAATGACTAAAATACCCCACGTGTAAAAACATAAGTTCATTTATACTTTCACTGTATGTTTGACTAAAGTTGGATCCTTCGACTGTACGTGGAGCTTTCATATATCACATCCAAACGACTAGAATTTATTCTTTGACCCTTTCCCACCTCTTGTTAAAATATCATGTTTGGACATAGGAAAACACTATGACATCATTATCAGCTTAATTATCAAGTATTATCCCGGTCTACACGGCATGGCCTCCTTCAATTTACGCACATTTTTCTTGTGCCACCATCTTTTCATTGACGCACATTTTTGTTTTGGCCCAACTTGTAAAATCCAATGCTTTATTATGTGCCTCTAACTTTGGTTTTTCAAGAACAATTCATTGTCCAGCTTCAGTTCTAATACGAACATGTCACCTCATTATTTCCATGCTCCATATGATGCCCTCATTACCTTTTTAATCTGTGTTTTCCTGGCTTTTGAACTCACCCACGCAGTGGCGGAGCCAGGATAAAAATTTACGTATGGCGACGAGCGGATGGAGTAGTACTGCCGGTGGGCGTCGGCGTCGGCGACTGCGAGAGCGGTTCAAGAGAAAGGGAGTCGAGAGAATTCAGATCGATCGCGACATCTCGTCTGTTCGGCTGCCTGCCTGCCTTGCATATGATATTTTACCGATTGGGCTTCACAAGGCACACAGTGGCAAAGGCCCAATCCCAAGAGGACAACATATCCCAGACTGCAGCCCAGCCCAACCCCACGCGAAACGTTACCTGTCTGACTGTCTCTCTTTGTCTTCCTCCTCCAGTATCGAAGGACGACGGCCGCCATGGCCAACAGATAAACGCGAACTGGCAAGAACCGCGAACAACAAGAACTGGGGGGCGTCCCGGTCAAATTGGGGGCCCAGTGCTAAACTTCAAGATGGGGCCCTAGTACCGATCGAATATGCATATGGCGCGTCCGACGACTCTGAGAGTGA